GCTTTTAATTTAATCATTCATTTGGTTATATTCTTTTCCTATAATTCATAAAAAATTACAACCTAAATCATTGCAACAATTCAGTAGATCTAAAATATAATTGTTTTTTATTTCCTAAACTCATACAGAATTCTTTTCATTTAATCTCTAATTCAAAACTAAATAATTGTAACCAAATTAATATTATTTAATAAAATAAAAGGAAGATTTAACGTACTGACCTCTTCAGATGACATATCTCCTACGGCATAGCTAGTATGCTTAAACCTTTTGTCTTCTTTTTCTATTTGTTTTTGTAGGAAGGAAGAATTCTGCTTAAATCTGCGGTTGCTTTTACAGAAAAGAGATTCCTGATTTATTGCCAGATTATTCTTAGGGAAGGAGTGGTGAGAGATTGAACGAAGGAGGAGAGATGGTTACCAAATGTTTTTCTTCTTTTAACTTTTATTTATTTATTATTTTATTATTTTAACTATTTTTTTTTTATAATTACTTTTATTTGTTTATTTCTTTATTTATTGTCGGGCTATTACAACATGAATCCCGAAAGTTTTTTTTTCCTAACTTATCAATTTCCTCTAAAAGAACTTTGACGATGACAATATTCAACCTTGCTACAATTCTTCTCATCCAAGTTTAGAAGATACGATTACCCCATTCTTGATGCTAAAATTATCACAGACCAGATAAGAAACGGGTGGAGAACAATAAAATAAATTGCATATTTAGATGGGGTTGGAAACATTTTTCCTCGAACAATTCCACTCAAATTATGGAATGTTGCAACCTGTCAGGTGAGCTCGTTCATGGTTGATAGTGAAGACCCAATGGTTCCTACGAGCAAATCACCAAATCGTGAGTTTGTTGATGTTAAAATGTTGGAAGGTTTCAAATATTTGGATGATTTTGTTTGTATTTTTATACTAATATAATGCAAAAGAATATAATATTTTCCAGTTACCAAGAGTGTCGTTGTACATAAAACAAGTTTTCCGATCAAGTCGATAGAAAGACCACTTACTTGATTAGCTTAAGTTGTTGTCATGAATTTATCCTTGATGAAAATTTGATTCTGTATTTTGAAATCCAAGTTAACTTATGTGTGCTCATGACATCAGTTTCAAGTTCGAACTTTCATGTAACAAGTTTATAGACAGAGTTAACCATTTTTCTAGAAGATATAAACTACTGTCATATAAAAGAATTTGATGAATTTATTTTATGTTAGAGTATTATTTGCTTTCTAGTCGTCCCATATTTAAAAATTCAATTCTTTTTCCATGGTTTATCCTCTATAATTCTTATTCTTAGAAGTTGTGTTTGGCAGTATACATAAAAAAATTATCAATTTTACACCACTAATTTTTCTTTTAATTCTATTAACAATTATCTTTAGCCAATTTTAATTCAACAAACTTTTTTTTTTGTCCACACTTTTAATTCTTTTTCAATTATCTTTGGAAAAATTTTAATGTTTTTTTTTCTTCATTTTTTTATCTGCTTTTATTGATTTTCCCAATAATCTTTATCCAATTTTAATAGATTCTTTTTTTTTTTTTTCATTTTAATGTTGTTGATCATGATTTTCTAAAATGATTGTAAAAATTTTAAATAATTGAAATAGAATAAAAAAGATGGAAGATCTAATAAACTTTTCTCTCTCTTTCTTTATTTTTTCTTGTGGTGATCATTATGTTGTTGGAGAAGGTGTTGTAATAAAATAAAATAAAAGTGAATTTTGAACTTAAAATTCTAGTTTTTATTTTTGAACTTTTAATTAGATGGAAATTGTAAAAAAAAAAAAAATCAAAATCAAATCAAATCAAATTTGTTTAAATTTTAAAACTCTAATATTTTTTCATTGAAATATTAATATAGAAGTTCTCTTATAGGTTCAATAAATTATAAATATTAATACTATTTTTGAAAATTTATGAATATTTTTTTAAACGTGAAATAAAGTTATAGTTATATAATAATAAACTTATTTTTAAAACAAAAGTAGTGATCATAAAATTTTCTTGTTACATTATTAGAGGGCTTGAATTAAAAGTGTTATCTCTTGTTGAGAACATCTCTCTCCCCAATCAACTTATCTTCTCTGGCGTGGTTGATCTTTTGTACAGTCTTCACATCAGTCCATTGTCTGCAGTGGAGGTGGCGGAGAGGGGAAGAGAAACGCTACCGCGGGTGGAGATTTAAAGAAGCTTCGCACAGGTGGTGGCGGAGAGGGGAAGAGAAATGCCGCCGGGGGTGGCGGAGAGGGGAAGAGAAACGACGCCGGAGGTGGAGATTTAAAGAAGCTTTGCGTAGGAGGTGGCGGAGAGGGGAAGAGAAATGCTGCTGGGGGTGGAGATTTAAAGAAGCTTCGCGCAGGTGGGGGCGGAGAGGGGAAGAGAAATGCCGCCGGAGGTGGCAGAGAGGGGAAGAGAAACGACGCCGGAGGTTGAGATTTAAAGAAGCTTTGTGTAGGAGGTGACGGAGAGGGGAAGAGAAATGCTGCCGGGGGTGGAGATTTAAAGAAGCTTCGCGCAGGTGGTGGCGGAGAGGGGAAGAGAAATGCCGCCGGAGGTGGCAGAGAGGGGAAGAGAAACGACGCCGGAGGTTGAGATTTAAAGAAGCTTTGTGTAGGAGGTGACGGAGAGGGGAAGAGAAATGCTGCCGGGGGTGGAGATTTAAAGAAGCTTCGCGCAGGTGGTGGCGGAGAGGGGAAGAGAAATGACGTCGGAGGTGGAGATTTAAAGAAGCTTTGCGTAGGAGGTGGCGGAGAGGGGAAGAGAAATGCTGCCGGTGGTGGAGATTTAAAGAAGCTTCGCGTAGGTGGTGGCGGAGAGGTGAAGAGGAACGCCGCTGGAGGGGGCGGAGATGTGAAGAGGAAGGCAGATAGAGATCTACGAGAATGCTTCAAGTCCGGCCATGAGTCAGCAATGGCAAGAAATGGATGAGAGAAAAGTGGAAAAATGAATAGCAGAGAGAACCCTACAAGATTCATTTTTTGTTCTTTCTTTTTTCTTTTTTTTAATATGTTTGGTGATTATGGAGATCTACTGCCAATCTCAAAAAATTTATAGGAATAATGCACATTTTCAAACCGTGAATACTAAATTTGTCTTTTAAAAAAATAGTAAAAAAAAACAAAAAAAATTAAATTAAAAAAAAATACTCTAAAGTTTCAATAATACAATTAAATTTTCCATAGAGTTAAAAATTGCAGTTAAATTTTAAAAAAAAAAATTTAAAAATAGTCTTATAATTAGTTAGGGATACAAATGGTTAATATTTTGTTTAAAAAAAAGTACCTTTAAATTTTCATAAAAGTTTGATACATACATTTAACTTTTACTAATTTCAATATAATTTAGTAATGGGAAAGATATTTATTTCTTTATTTATTGTTGGGCTATTACAACATGAATCCCGAAAGTTTTTTTTTCCTAACTTATCAATTTCCTCTAAAAGAACTTTGACGATGACAATATGCAACCTTACTACAATTCTTATCATCTAAGTTTTGAAGATACGATTACCCCATTCTTGATGCTAAAATTATCACAAACGAGATAAGAAACGGGTGGAGAATAATAAAATAAACTGCATATTTAGATGGGGTTGGAAACATTTTTCCTCGAACAATTACACTGAAATTATGGAATGTTGCAACCTGTCAGGTGAGCTCGTTCATGGTTGATAGTGAAGACCCAATGGTTCCTACGAGCAAATCACCAAATCGTGAGTTTGTTGATGTTAAAATGTTGGAAGGTTTCAAATATTTGGATGATTGTGTTTTTGTTTTCATACTAATATAATGCAAAAGAATATAATATTTTCCAGTTACCAAGAGTGTCGTCATACATAAAATAAGTTTTCCGATCGAGTCGATAGAAAGACCACTTGATTAGCTTAAGTTGTGGTCATGAATTTATCCTTAATGAAAATTTGATTCTGTCTTTTTAAATCCAAGTTAACTTATGTGTGCTCATTACATCAGTTTCAAGTTCGAATTTTCATGTAACAAGTTTATAGACAGAGTTAACCATTTTTCTAGAAGATATAAGCTACCGTCATATAAAAGAATTTGATGAATTTATTTTATGTTAGAGTATTATCTGTTTTCTAGTCGTCCCATATTTAAAAATTCAATTCTTTTTCCATGGTTATCCTCTATAATTCTTATTCTTAGAAGTTATGTTTGGCAGTATACATAAAAAAAAATTATCAATTTTACTCAACTAATTTTTCTTTTAATTCTATTAACAATTATCTTTAGCCAATTTTAATAGAACAAACTTCCATTTTTTTTTTTACCTCACTTTTAATTCTTTTGCCATTATCTTTGAACAATTTTAATCTATAATATCTTTTCATTTTTTTATCTGCTTTTATTGATTTTCCCAATAATCTTTATCCAATTTTAATAGATTCTTTTTTTTTTTTTTCATTTTAATGTTGTTGATCATGATTTTCTAAAATGATGGTAAAAATTTTAAATAATTGAAATAGAATAAAAAAGATGGAAGATCTAATAAACTTCTCTCTCTCTCTTTATTTTTTCTTGTGGTGATCATTATGTTGTTGGAGAAGGTGGTGTAATAAAATAAAATAAAAGTGAATTTTGAACTTAAAATTCTAGGTTTTATTTTTGAACTTTTAATTAGATGGAAATTGTAAAAAAAAAAAAAATCAAAATCAAATCAAATCAAATTTGTTTAAATTTTAAAACTCTAATATTTTTTCATTGAAATATTAATATAGAAGTTCTCTTATATGTTCAATAAATTATAAATATTAATACTATTTTTGAAAATTTATGAATATTTTTTTAAACGTGAAATAAAGTTATAGTTATATAATAATAAACTTATTTTTAAAACAAAAGTAGTGATCATAAAATTTTCTTGTTACATTATTAGAGGGTTTGAATTAAAAGTGTTATCTGTTGTTGAGAACATCTCTCTCCCCAATCAACTTATCTTCTCTGGCGTGGTTGATCTTTTGTACAGTCTTCACATCAGTCCATTGTCTGCAGTGGAGGTGGCGGAGAGGGGAAGAGAAACGCTACCGCGGGTGGAGATTTAAAGAAGCTTCGCGCAGGTGGGGGCGGAGAGGGGAAGAGAAACGCTACCGCGGGTGGAGATTTAAAGAAGCTTCGCGCAGGTGGGGGCGGAGAGGGGAAGAGAAACGCTACCGCGGGTGGAGATTTAAAGAAGCTTCGCGCAGGTGGGGGCGGAGAGGGGAAGAGAAACGCTACCGCGGGTGGAGATTTAAAGAAGCTTCGCGCAGGTGGGGGCGGAGAGGGGAAGAGAAACGCTACCGCGGGTGGAGATTTAAAGAAGCTTCGCGCAGGTGGGGGCGGAGAGGGGAAGAGAAATGCTGCCGGGGGTGGAGATTTAAAGAAGCTTCGCGCAGGTGGTGGCGGAGAGGGGAAGAGAAATGACGTCGGAGGTGGAGATTTAAAGAAGCTTTGCGTAGGAGGTGGCGGAGAGGGGAAGAAAATGCTGCCGGTGGTGGAGATTTAAAGAAGCTTCGCGTAGGTGGTGGCGGAGAGGTGAAGAGGAACGCCGCTGGAGGGGGCGGAGATGTGAAGAGGAAGGCAGATAGAGATCTACGAGAATACTTCAAGTCCGGCCATGAGTCAGCAATGGCAAGAAATGGATGAGAGAAAAGTGGAAAAATGAATAGCAGAGAGAACCCTACAAGATTCATTTTTTGTTCTTTCTTTTTTCTTTTTTTTAATATGTTTGGTGATTATGAAGATCCACTGCCAATCTAAAAAAATTTATAGGAATAATGCACATTTTCAAACCGTGAATACTAAATTTGTCTTTTAAAAAAATAGTAAAAAAAAACAAAAAAAATTAAATTAAAAAAAAAATACTCTAAAGTTTCAATAATACAATTAAATTTTCCATAGAGTTAAAAATTGCAGTTAAATTTAAAAAAAAAAAATTTAAAAATAGTCTTATAATTAGTTAGGGATACAAATGGTTAATATTTTGTTTAAAAAAAAGTAACTTTAAATTTTCATAAAAGTTTTATACATACATTTAACTTTTACTAATTTCAATATAATTTAGTAATGGGAAAGATATTTATTTCTTTATTTATTGTTGGGCTATTACAACATGAATCCCGAAAGTTTTTTTTTCCTAACTTATCAATTTCCTCTAAAAGAACTTTGACGATGACAATATGCAACCTTACTACAATTCTTATAATCTAAGTTTTGAAGATACGATTACCCCATTCTTGATGCTAAAATTATCACAAACGAGATAAGAAACGGGTGGAGAATAATAAAATAAACTGCATATTTAGATGGGGTTGGAAACATTTTTCCTCGAACAATTACACTGAAATTATGGAATGTTGCAACCTGTCAGGTGAGCTCGTTCATGGTTGATAGTGAAGACCCAATGGTTCCTACGTGCAAATCACCAAATCGTGAGTTTGTTGATGTTAAAATGTTGGAAGGTTTCAAATATTTGGATGATTGTGTTTTTGTTTTCATACTAATATAATGCAAAAGAATATAATATTTTCCAGTTACCAAGAGTGTCGTCATACATAAAACAAGTTTTCCGATCGAGTCGATAGAAAGACCACTTGATTAGCTTAAGTTGTGGTCATGAATTTATCTTTAATGAAAATTTGATTCTGTCTTTTTAAATCCAAGTTAACTTATGTGTGCTCATTACATCAGTTTCAAGTTCGAATTTTCATGTAACAAGTTTATAGACAGAGTTAACCATTTTTCTAGAAGATATAAGCTACCGTCATATAAAAGAATTTGATGAATTTATTTTATGTTAGAGTATTATCTGTTTTCTAGTCGTCCCATATTTAAAAATTCAATTCTTTTTCCATGGTTTATCCTCTATAATTCTTATTCTTAGAAGTTATGTTTGGCAGTATACATAAAAAAAAATTATCAATTTTACTCAACTAATTTTTCTTTTAATTCTATTAACAATTATCTTTAGCCAATTTTAATAGAACAAACTTCCATTTTTTTTTACCTCACTTTTAATTCTTTTGCCATAATCTTTGAACAATTTTAATCTATAATATTTTTTCATTTTTTTATCTGCTTTTATTGATTTTCCCAATAATCTTTATCCAATTTTAATAGATTCTTTTTTTTTTTTTTTCATTTTAATGTTGTTGATCATGATTTTCTAAAATGATGGTAAAAATTTTAAATAATTGAAATAGAATAAAAAAGATGGAAGATCTAATAAACTTCTCTCTCTCTCTTTATTTTTTCTTGTGGTGATCATTATGTTGTTGGAGAAGGTGTTGTAATAAAATAAAATAAAAGTGAATTTTGAACTTAAAATTCTAGGTTTTATTTTTGAACTTTTAATTAGATGGAAATTGTAAAAAAAAAAAAAAATCAAAATCAAATCAAATCAAATTTGTTTAAATTTTAAAACTCTAATATTTTTTCATTGAAATATTAATATAGAAGTTCTCTTATATGTTCAATAAATTATAAATATTAATACTATTTTTGAAAATTTATGAATATTTTTTTAAACGTGAAATAAAGTTATAGTTATATAATAATAAACTTATTTTTAAAACAAAAGTAGTGATCATAAAATTTTCTTGTTACATTATTAGAGGGCTTGAATTAAAAGTGTTATCTCTTGTTGAGAACATCTCTCTCCCCAATCAACTTATCTTCTCTGGCGTGGTTGATCTTTTGTACAGTCTTCACATCAGTCCATTGTCTGCAGTGGAGGTGGCGGAGAGGGGAAGAGAAACGCTACCGCGGGTGGAGATTTAAAGAAGCTTCGCACAGGTGGTGGCGGAGAGGGGAAGAGAAATGCCGCCGGGGGTGGCGGAGAGGGGAAGAGAAACGACGCCGGAGGTGGAGATTTAAAGAAGCTTTGCGTAGGAGGTGGCGGAGAGGGGAAGAGAAATACTGCTGGTGGTGGAGATTTAAAGAAGCTTCGCACAGGTGGTGGCGGAGATGGGAAGAGAAATGCCGCCGGGGGTGGCGGAGAGGGGAAGAGAAACGACGCCGGAGGTGGAGATTTAAAGAAGCTTTGCGTACGAGGTGGCGGAGAGGGGAAGAGAAATGCTGCCGGTGGTGGAGATTTAAAGAAGCTTCGCGTAGGTGGTGGCGGAGAGGTGAAGAGGAACGCCGCTAGAGGGGGCGGAGAAGTGAAGAGGAAGGCAGATAGAGATCTACGAGAATGCTTCAGATCAGGCGATGAGTCAGCAATGGCAAGAAATGGATGAGAGAAATGTGGAAAAATGAATAGAAGAGAGAACCCTACAAAATTCATTTTTTTGTTTTTCTTTTTTATTTATTTTTATATGTTTGGTGATTACGAAGATCCACTGCCAATCTCAAAAAATTTATAAGAATAAGGCACATTTTCAAAATAGTGAATACTAAATTTATCCTTTAAAAAAATAGTAAAAAAAAAACAAAAAAAATTAAATTAAAAAAAATATTCTAAAGTTTCAATAATACAATTAAATTTTTGAGTTAAAAATTGCAGTTAAATTAAAAAATAGTCTTATAATTAGTTAGAGATAGAAATTATTAATATTTTGTTTTAAAAAAAGTATTTTTAAATTTTCATAAAAGTTTTGTACATACAGTTAACTTTTACTAATTCCAATATAATTTAGTAATGGAGAGAGATATTTGGGGAAGGAATGGTAAGGATGGAGAGTTTGATGAAGTTTGATGGAAATATTTTTATTTTAGAATTAAAATTAAAATTAGATGAATTTCTAAAATAAAAGAGATTGAAATGGTTAGATATTTTTTTTATAGAGCATAATTAGTTTCTATAAATCATTTATTACCAATAAATGAGGAAAACTCAACCAAAACAATATCATTTATTACTATTTTTCTAAATTAGTTGTTCACTAGAGTTTATATATAGGTGAGATTTAGAGGTAGAATATCTATGTGACGACAAAATGGGTTTGCATAAAAATGTCAATATGGTTTATGTACTTTTGTTCATCTCTCCACTAATGTCTCATCCATTTTCCAAACTATCTCTCCCAACCATGTGACCTCTCCCCCACACTTCTCTCCACAAGTCTTCCGATCTAGCCTATAGAAAGACCACTTACCTGATTAGCATAAGTTGTTGTCATGAATTTAATCCTTAATGAACGTTTGATTCTGTCTTTTGAAATCCAAGTTAATCTATGTGTGCTCATGACGTCAGTTTCAAGTTCGAACTTTCATGTAATAAGTTTACAGAACCATTTTTCTAGAAGATATAAGCTACTCTTATATAAAAGAATTTAATGAATTTATTTTTAGATATAAGCTACCGTCTATAAAAGAATTTGATGAATTTATTTTATTTATTTTATGTTGGAGTATTATCTGCTTCCTAGTCATCCCATATTTCAAAATTTAATTATTTTTCCATCCTTTATCCTCTATAATTCTTGTTCCCGTTGTGTTTGTCAGTATACATAAAAAAATTGTCAATAATTTTTCTTTTAATTCTATTAATAATTATTTTTATCCAATTGTAATTGAGCAATAAAAGATTTTTCTTTTTCTTTTTCTTTTTTCACCTCACTTTTAATTCTTTTGCAATTATCTTTGAACAATTTTAATCTATTCTTTTATTTTTTTTTCATTTTTTTCTCTGCTTTTAATGATCTTGAGGCAAGTGGAGTTGCAATGTGCTTTCTTAGGACTTAAAAAGCATGTCCCAACTAGACTAAATCCAACAACATCTCCTTAAACGCTTCCATTGGGTCTAGGAACTAAGAGACGTGTGCCAATTTGCCCAAATCCAGCAACCCCTCCTGAAACACCTCCATTGGGTGTAGGCACAGGGCACTCAGAGACCTATGCCAACTGGCTCAAATCCAGCTACACCTCCTGAAACGCCTCCATTGGGTCTAGGCACTAAGAGACCTGGGCCAGTTGTCTAGGCACTAGGACCTGTGCCAACTGGCCCAAATCCAGCAACTTCTCCTAAAAGCCCTCCCTCAAGTTTAGGCACCAAGAGGCGTGTCCCAATTGGACCTAATCCAGCAACAACTCCCGAAACACCTCCACTGGGTCTAGGAGCTAAGAGGCGTGTCCCAACTGGACCTAGTCCAGCAACTTCTCCTAAAAGCCCTCCCCAAATTTAGGCACCAAGAGAAGTGTCCCAAGAGGACCAAATTCAACATCTCCTGTAACACCTACATTGCCTCTAGGCACTACATCTCTTAGTAGAGGCGTGTACCAAATGACCCAAAGGCACTACATCTCTTAGTAGTGGCGTGTACCAAATGACCCAAAGGCACTACATCTCTTAGTAGAGGCGTGTACCAAAGGACCCAAAACCTGCAATATCTCTTGAAAAACCCTCCTCAAGTTTAGGAACCAAAAGGGGTGTACCAAATGCCCAAAAATCAACAACATCTCCTGAAAGTCCTCCCTCAAGTTTAGGCATCTAAGAGGCCTGTACCAAATGGCCCAAAACCTCCTAAAAGTCCTCCCTCAAGTACCAAATGCCCCAAAATCAACAACATCTCCTGAAAGTCCTCCCTCAAGTTTAGGCATCTAAGAGGCGTGTACCAAATGGCCCAAAACCTCCTAAAAGACCAAATGCCCCAAAATCAACAACATCTCCTGAAAGTCCTCCCTCAAGTTTAGGCTAGATGCGTGTA